AAAAAGATCTGGGCAGGATGGAACAAGAGGCCGAAATAAATAGGATGAGATTGAAGAAAGAAGAAATGTAAGATTCTGAGTAGGGAAGTGTCAGGCTGAAGTGTAAGATGGGGGAGACTCTTGAAAGAGACCTGGGTGGCCGTGGTGACCATATGAAATATAAACATAACATGTCAAATCCCACCCTGGGTCTGGATACGGGAACATCCCGTCTTGATCACAGGGAGTAATTATCTAGTCTTCTCTGGTCCCTTCAAAAAGGGCAGGGACAAATGTGGAGGAAGTTAGAGGAAGGTTATCAGGATGGTGCAGAGTCTGGAAGCTTTCCAGTATCTCAGGGGCTGCCCCAAAGAAGAGGGAGTCAAGCTCTTCTCCAAAGCCCCTGAAGGCAGGAGAAGAAGCAACGGATGGAAACTAACCAAGGAGAGAAGCAACCTAGAACTAAGGAGAAACTTTCTGACAGAACAATTAACCAGTGGAACAACCTGCCTCCAGAAGCAGTGAATGATCCAACACTGGAAGTTTTTAAGAAGAGACTGGACAGCCATTTGTCCAAAATGGTATAGGGTTTCCTGCCTGAGCAGGGGGTTGGACTACATGACCTTCAAGGTCCCTTCCAGCTGTGTTCTGATTGATTGATACACTCGTGGACAGGGGTGGGCAACCTTGGCTCTTTTATGACTCGTGGACTTCAACTCCCAGAATTCCTGAGCCAGCATGGGGGAACTATGGCCCCCTCATGACTTGCGGACTTCAACTCCCAGAATTCCTCAGCCAGCATGGGGGAACTATGGCCCCCTCATGACTCGTGGACTTCAACTCCCAGAATTCCTCAGCGAGCATGGGGGAACTATGGCCCCCTCATGACTTGTGGACTTCAACTCCCAGAATTCCTGAGCCAGCCTGGCTCAGCTTGGAAACCTCTCCCTTTCCCCTCAGCATGGCTGGCTGAGGAATTCTGGGAGTCGAAGTCCATGAGTCATAAAAGAGCCAAGATTGCCTATTCCTGATGGTCTGTTTGTCTGTCTGTCTACTCCTGCGCTAGCAGGACAGGCTGTTCCGTATCAGTTCCCGTCTTCAAGCAGAGGCTGCAGGACCCTCTGTCAGAGATGCTCAAGTGGGACCCTCTCTGAACACCGAGTGGTTCTGGATGGCCTCTGAGGTCCGGAATTCTAGGACTTTGTGGGTCACTCAGCAGCCCTCAGAAACTGCAGCTGTCACAAACGGAGCAAGTGGACGTGGCTGGGACTCGTTTTGTGGAAGCGTCTAAGACTCTTTGACATCAGGTCTTCTAATTGCTTGTCCCTCTCAAAGTGTCGTTTATCATCAGGACATGCAGGGCCATCTCTTTCTCTCCCAAATAATCCTGCCCCATCGATGGAGATCTTTGGGCAATCCTTCCAGAAAAGTCCCCCAAAATGGAAAAAGACATTCTCAGACATTCAATTTTTGGATCTTCCCAAAGATTTATATGTTTTTTTTCCTTGTTCTTTTGACAGCCATTAATATCTCATCTCAATGCACTTTTGCTTGGCGGATTAGTTCTACTTATTCTGTTTTACAGAGATTACCTTAAAAATGCCCTTAAAAGTTAGACTTTATTATAGCACCTTTGTTTCCCTTTGTTGCTGTCTTGGGTGGCTCAGATTTTTGACTCCTGTTGAAATTGGTTGGTTTTGAGGAATGGCTGCTTTAGGGCAATAAACGCTGATACCTCAGGCTGAAGTTGATGATAACTGAGGTCCTATAATTGACTATGATTATGGGGTTTTTAAATGGCTACTATATTATCTTGTCTTCGAGGTGCTTTGTTGTTTTGGGGGGTGTTTGGTGATTTGTAGTGGGTTTTTGTTGTTGTTAGGAAATGTGTATCTCCACATAATATGTTGCAAAATCAAGATTTGTTTTTTTAAAAAATGCATGGCATAAGTGCGTTCACAATATTCAGATATGTTCTCTGGAATTAGCAACCTCTCCTCATTTTGCAGGTAAAACAATTATTCTTTAGGAAAAATAACCAAATTTTCAGAAATATAATTCTATCTAAACCCAGCGCAGTAGTCCTTGTTTAGCAACCGTAACAGGAACTAGCAGCTCAGGGGTTAAGCAGAGTGGTCACTAAATGAAACCACGGCTGGGCTCATGACCTGACTTCAGCTTTCCTCGCTTTACAGACCTGCCAAGGCTGTACATGAGAGGTTCGGTTGCAAAATTAACTTTTTCATCATCCTTGTCCCTGCACACGGTTACTAAGTAAGGTAGTTGCTAAATGAGGACCACATGCATGATGGAACGCAATGGACCATTGGCTCAGTTTAACCAAGGAAAATTCAACACAGGAACAGCTTTTGCACTTGGACAAAAAGGCTGACTTAGCACCAATCAATCACACACACACAGAGATGCACAAAACAAAGGATCCTGAATGTTGCTAGATTTTGTGTTACATCTAGACCATATTCAATCACACATTGAATATAAATCAGCTGAGAAATACGATGTGGCTGTGAAAAAAAGGCTCCTGTAATTTATGAAGCAATTTCTTAGTTACAAGGAATAGGAGTTGTGCTTTAAGGTACATCAGCTAAGCATATTCCAGGATTACCAATAACAAATCTTGAAGCAGAACGTGGGAAAATTGTACCTTCGGATTCAAAGAAAGGAAATAACTGATGGAAAACACAACCTTTAAGAATAAAAGTTGAAAGAATTTTTATAGAGTGGAGGGAGACAGGATAGCATTCTGGAGAAATGCTATACAGGTAGGTCCTCTACTTACAATAGTTTGTTTAGTGACCATTACAGCAGCACTGAAAAAAGGGACTTTTTTTTCACTCTTACGACCGCCGCAGCATCTGCACGGTCACGTGATTCATACTCTATTTATTTATTTATTTAATTTATGAATGAATGAGACTTATATACCGCTTTAAGTGCAAGCACTCTCTAAGCGGTGTACACCAGTGAGCAATGTATATATATATTTACATTGCCCCCAGCAATCTGGGTCCTCATTTTACCTACCCCGGAAGGATGGAAGGCTGAGTCAACCTTGAGCCGGTGAGATTTGAACCGCTGACCTGCTGAACACAGTCAGCTAAAGTGGCCAGCAGTACTGCACTCTAACTGCTGCGCCACCTCGGCTCTTGGCCACTGACTTGTATTTATGACAGTTCCAGCGTCCTGGGATCGTGTGATCCCCTTTTGCGACTTTCTGACAAGCGAAGTCAGTGGGGAAGCCGGATTCACTTAATGACCAAGTTGCTAACTTCACAACTGCAGTGATTCACTTAACATCTACGGCAAGAAAAGTCGTAAAATGGGGCAAAAACAAATGTGGCGTTTAGCAACATAAATTTTTGGCCCCATTGTGGTTGTAAGTTGAGGACTACCTATAGAAGACAAAAAGGAATCTTGGAAGTAATTTTGTCTCACTTGGATCAGGGGGGGGGGGCTTCCTGTGGCGTCCCAGAGGAGGGCAGGGGCAGATGCCCTGGGTCAAAGTTACCTTCTGGGAAGCTTCCCGCAGTGACGGCAGCAGCCGAGGGAGCTGAAATCCGGCCGAAACTGGGGGACTTGAGAAGTGGCGGGACCGTCTATCCTTCCCTGGCGGCTGCTTCATGGGAGCTGCTCCATAACAAGCGATTTGTAAATCTTGTGACACGGAACCTCAGACAATTGCTCTTAGCAAAATTCTGTTGGCGATGAATCGATTTGATATGCGCCCTTTAATGATTGAATGCCTAAAAAACTTCCTTTTCAGCACTGGAAAGATAAATGAAAAATAGAAGAAAATTCTAAATGCATTCCCAGCTGCATTATGTCATCAAAAAATCGAGATAGATACGTATATTTCTGCTGCTTTATAGATCTTATACTAAAGATTTTGATGGTCCCAATAAAGTAGTGCAGACCAGATACCAAGAAACAGGATTAAATGTTGTGTGTTAATTTGAATTTTGTCACGGTTCTATTTTGGATGATGTTAAGCTTCGTTTGATAACAGAGAGAGCGGTCACTTCCTCCAGTTCCCTCCATGGCAGAGGCCCCCAACCTTTGGGGCACCAGGACCGGTTCCGTGGGGAGGGGTTTTTCTGCGGACCGGAGGGGGGACGTGGTTTTGCGTGCTGCCTGCATCCCATGGATGGATGGGGCTTCGCTTGTTTGTGCAAACCGGTTGCTGGCATGACACAGACCGGTACTGGTCCACGGAGCGGGGGTTGGGGACTCCTGCACTATGGCATGGGCCACCCCCAACACCAAGACACATTAGTAGTTGACAATGCAGAAATCTCAATAAACATCTTACTGGAGTGAGTGAAGGGCAGGTAGGTCTCTGAGCACAGATCAGATCCAGAATAGTCATTTTTCACTGCTGGCTGCAGACATTGAAATATTTGGTTCTTTTAAAAAAAAGAGGTCAGATCTTAATATGGGCAGTCTTCCACTACAAACCCAACTGAGCCCAAATTTTCTGTTGTTCAGTGAGACATTTGTTAAGTGACATTTGCTCCAATTTATGACCCTTTCTTGCTGTAGTTGTTAAGTGAATCACTGCAGTTGTTAAGTTAGTAACACGGTTTTTAAGTGAATCTGGCTTGACTTTGCTTGTCAGAAAATCTCAAAAGGGGATCACGTGACCCCCCCCCCGGGATGCTGCAACCATCGTAAATGTGAGCCAGTTGCCTAGCATCCCAATTTTGATCACGTGACCGTGGGGATGCTGCAACGGTCATTAAATGAGAAAACGGTCATTAGTCACTTTGGAACTTTGAGTGGTCACTAAACGAACGGCTGTAAATGGTGGACTAACCTGCATATTTATTATTAGCCAAAGAAAGACAGAAAGGAATGTAGACTGTGTTGCGTAAGCAACCTTCATGCAGTGGGTACGAATCAAGTAAACAGGTGTGTGGTTTTGGGGTCTGTGTTCCAAAATCGACGCTGCTACATTCTCTTTTCTGACAGGTGTCGTTTATTTCTCTCCCTTGTCTCCATAGTTATATGCTTTGTTGTGACCAAGTCCTTGCTGGTGACCTGCTGCTTGCCCGTCTTTCTGATGGGCCTGAGGTACTACTTCAGTAGGAAAGTTATCCTCAACTATCTCGAATGCGCCCTGAATACGGACATGTCTGACATTGAGCAATATTACATGAAATCCCCAGGTGAGTGACAAGAGCTCTGAAGGGGCTGACCAGCCATCCCATAAGCGGTGAATAATGTAACATCTGCCCTTGTGTCCTCCTGACAGGCAGAGGACAGGAGGGTCCGTCGTGTCTCCAGAATATTGGGCTTATTGGCTTTCTGCGCAAACCTTTGCCTTTACATGTAAACAGTGGAAAAATATTCTGCCGTTTTTTAAACGCTGGTGCTCGAGTTTACATGCAAGCATTGAGAGTTGCATCTTAGCAAATCTCCTTGGTTTCCACTTTCACTGTATTAAGCGTGTAATGCTACAGGCGATCCAGTCAACGGGACTTTACTTGGTTTTCCTGTAAAAAATCTCCTGTATATCTTAAGTATTGTAGCAAAAAGAAAAAAGAAATCTGGGTAAAGATTTAGAGATTGTATTATTGAAGATACTGGGTACCTATACAAAAAAAAACCCTGAACCAATTGGTTTGTACATATTTCAAAAACCGTACGAATTCGGGATATGTGGAATATGCGTTTGTAAAGTGGAAAGGAAAGTCTTGGTCCAACTGGGTTCAATCCCTGGTAATTACATGGGCACCACGTAGCTATCTTGGCAAGACGTGGTCGGCCATTGAGGAGGGTCCATAGCTGCCTTCTTCTGAGATCTTTTATCCAACTCCAGATGAACCTTGAACTTTGGGTTGACCCCTGCCCAAGCCTCAACCTTGTCTGGCCTTTCTCAGCATTCTCAAGACCATAAATTTGTACAACAGATCTGTCACTCTAATTTATTGAGAGGGGTGTGTTTGTGTGGTTTGTGCGTGTGTATTTTAAAATACCTTGTCAAAATAGAGCACTTGGTACTTATATTTATATATTTATTTGATTTTTATCCCACCTTTATGATTTTATAAGTAACTCAGGTTGGCAAACATACCAATGTTCCTTCCTCTTCATGTTTTCCCCACAACGACAACCCTGTGAGGTAGGCTTGGGCTGAGAGACCATGACTGCCCCGGAGTCACCCAGCATGGCTAAGGCGGGACTAGAACTCAAAATCTCTGGGTTTCTCGGCCAGCAACTTAACTACGATACTGTATTTTACTCTGTCTCAGAGAAAAAAAAATACAGTAAATTTTTTCTGTATGATCTCTCTGCTTATATATATATATATTGCCCTTGTAGTCCATTGGTGAAGCGTTTTGTGTACCCCCAAAGTGTTCTTCTAATCAGTTCTTTGTCTGTATAGGGTTTCTCTCTTTAAAAAAAAAAGTGGTGTAAGTGTTGTCTTTCATCTTGAAATCTAGGAATATTGTTCAAGTGATTTGTGAACCAAGCTATAAGTTCAATCTATCTGAATGGAGACTGAACCGTGTCTTTCCATCTGGCAGAAGGCTGCCCCAGTTTGTGATATGTGAGTTTCATCATCACTATTCGGGTGCCTGAAAGAATGTCTGAAGGGAGGAAAGGCGTGTCCCCGAGACTGGCACTGATTTGCTGACCATGTTTGTCAATGTCCGTGTCATGGTTCTGACAGATGAAACTCTTTAAAAGAACTTTGAGGCATTGTTTACCTTAAAGAAACTTTTATTTGAAAAACAAAGTATCGGCACTACATAGTTAAAGCCAAAAACTGAATTCCCCTCCCCCCCACAAAGTAGCAAAGTACAATTCACTCCTCCAATTAACAGTCATAAAGCACATTCCCCAATTAGCTTGAAGTGCGGGCTTTCTCCCCAGCCCACCAAATCCTTATCAGCTCTGGGCTCAGTGACCTTGATTCCCATGGCTGAGTTATTGTTGTTATGTCTAACTGGACTCTCATCCACATCCCCCCTCCCAGCATCATATAATTCTAAAAGTGAAAGAGAAAAGATGGCTACATTTCCATCGGTTGTCAAAGCAAGAACATCCCATGTCAGCAGCGTTGGCAGTTGGGTGAGGAAAGGGTTGATCCTTAAAATGCAACTCCTTGTCCCACAGGACCCCTCCGCCAGCAGAAGGAGCGGAGAGGGCCTCTCCCTGGCAGAGTGTGGCCAAACCTCAGTTGTGCCTAAGGGAGCTTCCCGGTCTCTTCAGAGCAGGTGTCAGTAAGAAAAAAGGGTGTTAGTAAAAGTGTGTTGCACACTTACAGAACCTACAACCCTCCTGAATTAGTGGGACGTCTCCGTTATTCCAGTTTTGAGCATCTTTTCCCTTCTCTCCATGGGTTTGAAGAAAGAATAGCACTTCAGCTCTCTGCCGTTTGGGGGGCTTTGACGTCAGAGCAGGTTATGTCAATTGGGGGGGGGGATTTCAATGTTGCTCTTTAAAGATTTCGGAGTGTGGATGTTTGTCTTGATTTAGACACATTGAAAATCTGGAGTCCCTTCAGCAGAACCTGAAGGAGGACCGAATGTGGTGGATGCAGGCTGGCGCGCTCCTGCCTGAACGGGGATTACGATGAGGCCTTGCTTGCCGCTGACTTTCGGGAACCCAGTGAAAGGTTTTTTTAAAAACATGCCTTTACAAGATTCCTTGAAACATTTTTGCTTAATGTGGTAGTGGCGAAGGAGGGGGAAATAACTTCAAGTAAACACATAAAGCAATTTAAAAACAAATCATGTTCATTGCTAACTAGGAAATAAATTCTACCAGAAGTGAAATTCCAGCTTTCGCTGCCCATGTAGTCCGTTTCTCCAGAAAATACATAACGGTCCCATGGAGCCTTCAGACAAATAGAAAGATGGCGTTCCGATTTATTTTGAATCTCTGGTTCTTTGTGTTGAGATCCATAGGTGGGACATTTCATATTTAAAATTTGTTTGTATATCCCCTGCTTAGATTGACCACAATGGTTGAAAGAAATCAGTCGAATTTACCCTGTTTTACGGGGTCCGGATCTTTTATCCCAATTACTGGATGTTTCTTACTTGTGCTTAGCTGATCAGGTGTTCATAGGCTTTTGGGACCTCTTCCCTCTATTAATATGCTTGTGTAATTTGCTTTGCTGGTTCAGAAGAAATATTTCTACATTCCAGCCTATTGGAAAGCTTTGATTGATCCATATAAAGAATATATTTGAAAGCGGGAGACCTCTGTTCAGGTTGTGAAAGTTTACAAAAATAAGATGGTTATGCCTGTGTAATTCCAAACTCTTGTGTTAGCTAGCAATAACAATCCACTTTTAATCCAGTCAGTTCCGGAGCGGTTGCTTGTAAAAAAGGGAAAAGGGAACATATTTCAGATATTTTGGGCAACTTCAGGGAAGTTTTTCTAAAGATTTCTGTAAACGGCATCTTATTTCAAGAAAATCTTTGTAATCAGAACTTCCAGTATTACAGGTAGTCGTCAAATTACAACAGTTCATTTAGTGACCGTTTTTCACACGACCGCTATGGCATGCCCAGGATCACGTGATCACAATTCAGGCGCTCAGCAACCGGCTCAGGTTTCCGACGGTCACAGTGTCCCGGTGGGTCATGTGGTGCCCTATCGTCACCTTCCGATAAGCAAAGTCGGTGGGGGAAGATGGACTCCCTTCATAGTGCAGTGATTCAGTTAACAACTACGTCAATAAAGGCTGTAAAGTGGGGCAAAACTCTGTGTAGTTTCAGAGAGTTCCCAGGCTTTGCCCCTGGGGGGGGGGTTGGGGTTTGAACCTCCCGGGAAAACACCAACTGTCCTTCTGAAATGCGTTCAGAGGCTTTGCCAAAGGGCGCAGGAAGTGCCAGAGAAGAGAATAAACAGGGTGACCTTGAAAAGCAAAACGGAGGTTTTCTCCTTTGGCTTTTGCTACCTTGGGAAACGGACTGAGTGGCCGGAGAGCCAAGGGCCTTTGCAGGACATGGAGAAGGGTGGCTTCCCCCCCCACCACCACGCCCCCTTTGTCAGCGGCAAACTTGGAACTCCTTGCAAAGTTAATTTCTGGTCCACCGAGTTTGGTTGTTCTTTCATAGCACTGCAATTAGAGTAGGAGCAGCAGAAGAGAAGGAACAAGTCCTCATTCATAGCACAATGCTTCACACACACACACACACACACACACACACACACACACTTCGCGCTGGCCCTCTTCCACAGAGAGTGGGTGAGGGGGGGAAAAAAGTGGAAAAAATATGAAAGGAAGCCATGGAGCGCCAGGGCCAAAGACTGGAAGCCGGTGGGTGCAGCTCCACACCTTATGTCCGTGTGAGTCTGGGACGCGAAAGGGTGAGATTTTGGGTACTGCTGTGATTCAGGGCCTGCCAGCTTGCAGATTTTGACCTGGAGTGGACAGACTCCCATCAAGGAGAATTTCCTCTGAAAACCAAAAGCATTTAACGAAGAGAAGGACAAGGGGGGACAGGATAGCAGTCTTCCAATATCTCAGGGGCTGCCATAAAGAAGAGGGAATCAAGCTATTCTCCAAAGCGCCTGAAGGCAGGACAAGAAGCAACGGGTGGAAACTCATCAAGGAGAGAAGCAACCTGGAAGTAAGGAGAAACTTCCTGACAGTGAGAACAATTAACCAGTGGAACAGCTTCCCACTAGAAGCTGTGGGTGTTTCATCACTGGAGGTTTTTAAGAAGAGACTGGACAGCGATTTGTCTGAAATGGTGTAGGGTTTCCTGCCTGAGCAGGGGGTTGGACTAGATGACCTCTAAGGTCCCTTCCAACTTTACTACTATTACTATTTGCTAGCATTCTAGTGCTCAGTGAACATATTGTGTGTGCCAAGTTTTATGAAGCTGAGATTTTAGTAGCCCTGAAATGTTGAGCAAAAATATTTTGTAGTTAGTCATTCCTGAAGCTACATATTTAAGTGAGAGGATGGCTGGGAAACAAATCCAAGGTGTGAAATTTTAATTATGAAGCGACTTAGGGTGATGCCGTGAGATCTCTCACGTGGGAGGCACTGAGGTAAATGTACCTGTACAATTGAGCGACACCTGGGTGGGATGAAGCCTAACCTCGAAAATTTCTGGGACCCATGGAGCCTCCCTGGTTCTTCCCCCTCAGTTTTGTGTATCAAAGGGAGTGTTGAGTCATTATTTGGTTCCTTAAATTGATTTAGGGAGAGGGACAAATTGAAGCTAAGCCTGAAGTGTGACTTGTTGGTTGCTGGACTAAAGGGAAGAAGTGTGTCTTCTTTCTAACATGGGGCTGCACCACACACACACACACACACACACACACAGATGTTGCTAAGCTACAAGTCAGCGTCTGCCTCATTGTGGGCCATGTGGGCAGTTTGCCGAGGGTCACACACGGCCCAAAGCAGCTGGTCTTTAAGCATATCTCATGCCCTGCAAGGCACAGTTTACTTACAAAGCAAGGCAGACGTGAATGAGCTTAGGGGGGGGGGGAGGCTGGAGAAATGTCTAGATGGAATTGTGGCTGTCTCACAATCCCTTGGCACACAGACAGACAAACCCTCCCTTCCTGTCTGCGTTGAGGACTGAGCCCTGTGTTGCTCTCTTGAGCGTGCTGGACTTTGCTGACACAATGCAGACTTTGCTGACACAATGAGTAGGTGTAGGTTGCTTTCAACAAATTATCAGACACTTCGATTACTATTTTAAAAATGCAACTTAGACAACTCGGTCTTAGCAGGCATTTTTGTGCTCAACAAGAAGCGTTGAGAAGTTGATAACTATTTTCAAGCGAATCCAGAGATCTTGCAAAGGGAGGGAAAAGAAAGAAACATTAGGTGTGATGGGGGGGGAGTTAAAAATGGAAAGCGAGGCGGTCTGGAGGCTTCCTCGCAAATCTTGAGAACGAGGCGGGATGTCTGCACAACAGAAGCCTCTTTGGGAGGGCCTGGAGCCTCGCAGTGCCACCTAACACAATGCAAACCCAGAGTAGTGGGAGTGATGACAGAATAAGAGATAAGGGAGTGGGTGAGCAGAGGCGGGGGGGGGGGGAGCTGAGGTTGATGGCAGGAATGAGAAATCAGCTCCCAGGAAAGGAGCAGAAACAGAAACCGAGAGAGCATAAATAGATGGAAGGGAGAGTGGAAGAAGAAGGAAGAGGGAGGGAGGAAGGAAGATGGGGGAAGTGCAGAAAAGAAGAAAAGCAGGGAGGGGAAGACATGAAACAGCAAGAAAAGCAAAAATGAGACCTCGAATAGAGTGACAGGTAAAGGTGAAAGAGAAATAAGTAAGGGTGGGCTCTTAATTCTAAAAAAACAATCCTCTTTTGACGGGCCTTGGAGAGCTAATTCTGTTCCTGCTGCTGATCAGCTCTGCCAGGGGTCTCCAACCTTAGCAATGTTATGGCATGCTGTCAGGGGAATTCTGGGAATTGAAGTCCATGAGTCATAAAAGAGCTGAGGCTGCCTACCCCTGGCCTAAGCTGTCAATGGCTTGGGGACACCTTCTGCCTCACAGTTTTGATCGGAAGGGTTGGTCTGAGACCCACAGCGCTCTTGAAGCGGTCCTAGGCAACGGCCCCTTGCGTGTGGGAAGGCCGTCGCCCTTGGCCTTTCTGCCTTTTAGAGGGCTTCTTCTCCTTTGAGGCCAAACAGTTGTTGGTTGGTGCTGAAAATGGCACTTCAGCTTGAGAAGACCTCCACTCTTTCCTGCTTCTCCTTCTAAGTACCTCAAAAACCACCCTTCTCTTCCTCCTCCTCCTTCCAGGAAGAGAAGGGTGGGTTTCTCCCCTTAGCTCCCTCTCCGTGGAGAGTGGGGTGTCTTCTGCCCCCTCCCCACTCCTTCCCCTTCGGCTTCTTCTGTGGGACAGGGCAGGGCTCCCGCCGTGTCAGAACTTTCTCCTTCAGGCGATGCCCTCAATTCCTTCCTGCCTCTGGGGTGGATGGAGAGGCAGCGGGGAGGCCGTCTCCCTTCACTTCTCCCCCCTGGGGCAGGCAGTCCTTCCTCTCCCTCACTCCCAGGCCCCCTCTTCCTCGCCACCACAGGCGGCAGCAGAACTTTCCTGGGGGGTGGGGGTTCACTGGGTGGCACAAAAAGGGCGAAGGAGGGCTGTGGCTGCAGATAATGTATTGTCTCCCAGAAATGCTCCATTTTCTATTCAGCTGCGCTTTCTTCAGTGCTCAAAGACTGGAGAAGGAGGCCTAAAACCACGGCTGAGCCCAGAATTTCCGTTGCTGAGCGAGAGAGCTTTCAAGTGAATTTTGTTCCATTTTGTGACCTTCCTTGCCACAGTTGTTAACTGAATCACTGCATTCGTTAAGTTTGTCACACCGTTGTTTAGTGAATCCAGCTTCCCCCTTTGACTTTGATGGTGATCCCGGGGACTCTGTGATCGTCATAAACACAAGCCAGTGGCCAAGCGTCTGAATTCTGATCAGGTGACCCCTGGGGATGCTGCAACAGTCGCAAGTGTGAGAAATGGTTACAGGGCACCTTTTTCAATGCCACTGTAAGATGGAACAGTCACCCAATGAACTGTTGTAAGTTGGGGACCACCTGTCCATCCCACGGGATGCCAATAAGCCAGAAGGGAGAGACCCTGCCGATCAGCCATTTGGGAGCCCCAAAGACCAAGGCTCTCCTTTACTCGGTAGCAGCCGGGTTCCTTGCAGGACAGACGTAGAGCAGGAGGGCCTTTGTCCTTGGCAAAAGGATGAATGGCTGTGAATGAAGGGCAGAAGCTTATTAGAAATTTCATAGCTCGAAGCCAGTGGTGGGATTCAGTCGGTTCGCACCAGTTCGGCAGAACCGGTAGCTAAATTTTGCTGAGTTCAAAGAACTGGCTGAATGCACACTGCTTCCGGAGCTTAGAACAGCCCGCCGGAAGTGCATGGATGCCACTTCCGGAAATCTGTTCTAGGCCTTGGAGACCCAGGCCTGCATCCAATAAGAGAACCGGTTATTTAGGTATTTGAATCCCACCACTGCTCGAAGCCTATTCTCTGGACTGGACATGCTGACCCGAAGGCCCTTTTGTGACGATGTGCTGAACTCCTCTGGAGAACAATGGGCGACCGAGAGCAGCCATCCTTCCGCGAGGCTCGTTCAAAGGGAGGTTCACAGGTGACAAAACAGGAGTTCCCCCAACAATCTTCTCGGCCTTTAGCAGTGCTTGTCCCAGATTCAAAAAAATGGATCACAAAAGGATCGCCGTGTTGATCCAGACTTTTAAGTTTAAAAATTCTATGTTTCTTAAGACTGCTTGGTGATATGAAAAGTTGTTTTTATCTGGTGAACTTTATATTTATTTTGGTTTATTTAAGTGAATAATTTAGCTAATCCTCGCCATGAATTTTCCCCAGACTATGACTCAATTTGCAATGCAAAAACCAAATGAAATGCTTTTGAGGCTTGATTTAAAAACAAAAACAAAAAACAGCTACCAGCAATGAAAAAAACCCTGCCCGTCGTTAGATAACTGCTTTCTGACTGCTGCCAAAAGACTGGATGGGGCTGTCAGTTCTATTCAAGGAGAAAGAAGCGTGATTGGCAAAAACAGTTTCTCCTCTGGGAGCACCTTCAGAGGCCGGGAAAATGGACCAGCCTCTCAGTCTGAGGCTACCTAGATTTAATATAGACTTTCACATAGGTTTTAAAAAAACAAGGCTACAAATACAGCTTCACGTGGGCAAGAAAACTAACCTTCATCTAAATGTTAACCTGTGGTGTGATGCCACTAATTATTTTTTTTTTAAATCTTCCTGTGGTGTTAGACTGCATTAATTGAAGCAGTTCAGACCATGTGAACTGATAGGGATAGTCCTCAATTTACAACCATTCCTTTAATGATCATTCAAAGATGTGATGGTGCTCAAAAAAGTAACTTTAGGACCGGTTTTCCTACTTATGACCATCCCGACTCCTTCACGGTGATGAGAGATCAACACCAGCCGTGAGTTCATGATGGTTGCAGAGCCCTGGGTCTCCTCTGTTGACCTTCCCAGGGGACCTTTGACCAAGTCAGTGGGGAAAAGTCAAGTCTGTGTTCTGCTCTAAGGCTGGACTCAGAGGTGGGACAACGTGTCCTGGGCAAGTTGGCAAGTTGTCTGAAATCTCCTCCATGATCTTTTGCACCACGGAATGATTTGCATCCAATTGTTTGGTGATCTTTTTAAATTTCTTTCCAAATTCAGGGACATCTTTCATCTTTCTGAAAGCCTCAGACAGCTCCTTTGGTGTCTGGTGATACCCCACACTTCAACAATAAAGAGCAAATCACACTAAATGTCACACTAAATTTCAGTTGAACAGGTTCCTCCCAGCTCTGTCTAACCATGGGCTTTAATCAATTTTTTTTTTCATTTTCATTTCATTTCATTCCCCTCCGATCTGTTGCGCCCAGTTTCAATTTTAGGCCTTTCAGATCGTGATAACTGTAGGAATGGTGCTTACTTTTTCCACGTGAAATTGCCTGCAAATAATTAATCAGATGATCAAGTTGGTCAGTTTCTAAATCTTCACAAAGATTGGAATGCACTAGATTCAAAAATATATTGAAATATCTTCCCAATACCAAACTTTTCTCTGGACGTTTTCTAGAGCAGAAGATGTTATATCAAGGGTGACTCTGAGATCAAAGGCCCAGGAACTGTAATATTAAACTCTGTAATAAGGCTAAAGTAAATTATATGAAGTAAATGCATAAATACTGTTCTTAATCATATTTGGATATCTTGGGATTTGCGATAACTTTATAAATCTTCCCCCTATTAATGTAGCCATCTCTCAGATGTTTATAGTTTTCTCAATTCTTCCAAGTATATCTTTGAAATGGTTTCTTGTTTCTCTTAAGCAATGCTGTATATTCCTGTATGATTTTTATAAATGCATTTATTATCCAAGAGGAAAGTTCACTTTGAATTTCCTGGCATGTATTTTTAAAGACAAACAGGCATTTTACAATATTAATCAAACCAGGAAACTGGTGTTGCAGAGAGAATAAATGATCCTAATTGTTGACTGAGCATGGATTGACTTTCTTCTTAAACTGATAAGTGCTCAGAATATTAAGTATGTGGTTTTCTGCTACAGCAGGTTATCCTATAATCATGTTGATCCCCAAAAAGGAATTTAATCAATGTTTGGTGCTGCAAGACACCCAGTTTGATATACTTCTGTGGCCCTTTGACTGGGCTGACCATCAATTTTAATCTTTCACTGTTTATTTGCAAGGAGAACAGGGGGTTGGTTTGGGGTGTGGAACACGTTATTTTAATCCATGTAATATTGGCACATTTTAATCACCTACAGACTGGTGTCATAAACCAATATTGAGTTTTAAGGCTTGCAAGAAACCATTTACTTTCACTGTTTGTGGGTAAATTAGTTCTAGCCACTGACTGTCCTCCCCACATTTTGGGGTCACTGTAGGGCACAAATAGCGTTCTATATATCACAGTTATGTTGTTGCCTGGACGCTGTGCATTAATTGCATCAGATTGGTTGCGTAGAGAGACTTTCTTTATTTGCAGAGGTCATTAGCCCTGGTGGATGAGACAATAACCCCAGCAGCTCTGATAGTGGCTCCCCCCTACCCAGGCCATTGACCTCTGCCTAGCTCTGCCGCCATAACGGTCTCCTGTCCGTGGACCCTCCAGGATAACTGGCAAGTATGAAGGCTTCTCCTGCAAACCACCAGCCTCCGCCAGCTCTCCTTTGGTGAGTGCATTGTGCTATTGTGTGTTGTGTTAATGGAGCGATAGTGGGAGGCTTGACAGGAGGACAAATTTGAAGTGACAGGGCAGTTGCAAGGGAAGTGGGTGTCAGGCTGGAGTTGGGTCTAGAAGGAGGAGGAAAGAGAGGTGGGACAGAGGCAGGGTGCTGGGGCAGTGGCGACTGAAATTTGGAGTATGCTTTTTTGAATATGTACAGATTAATATTTTCTTGGTTTTTTCAGGCTCAGAAAAAATTAACAACAAGGCCTTCAGGTGCTGGAGATGAGGAGCAAGGTAGGCCGGTGTAAATGAATGTTGTTGATGGAGGGAATCTTACATCAACTGATATAGGGATGGTATCCCTCAGATATTGTCCAACATCCCTTTGAGTGGGAAAAACATGCAGCCAGAGCAGGAGAAGATCTTAGTTCTGCTTTCTCCTTCCTTCCTTCCTTCCTTCCTTCCTCCTTCCTTCCTTCCTTCCTTCCTTCCTCCCTCCCTCCCTCCCTCCTTCCTTTCCCTCCTTCCTTCTTTCCCTTCCTTCCTCCTTCCTTCCTTCCTTCCTTCCCTCCCTCCCTCCCTCCCTCCCTCCTTTCCTTCCTTCCTTCCTTCCTTCCTTCCTTCCTTCCTTCCTTCCTTCCTTCCTTCCTTCCTTCCTTCCTTCCTTTCTTTATTGAGATTTATGCTGGACTGCACGATCCAGAGGCCCATGTTTTTAAGCATCTGAGGCTAGGTAGAATCCAGATAGTATTTTTGAAGTTTCATCCTGGCACCAGGGATTTGGGGGGATGGCGTTACCTGAAGTCTCCCCCTCCGTTTTGAGGAAGAAGCCTTGCTTCTCATAGTTACAGCAGTGACCCCAAAAGCTCCTCCTGGATCACAGAAACACTATTAAGAAAGCTTTATGGGGAGACAGTATTCTTCCATCCTCATTTTGTAAGTGCGACCAGACTTGCAAAATACTTAAATGTCACGTACAAGTCTTAAAGCAATTTTTCTCAAATTCTTGAGAATTTTAAGATGGGTGGACTTCCAGACTTCAGTCTTGCTATCTGGGAAAATCTGGGAGTTGAAGTCTACCCTTCTTAAAACTGCCACGTTTGGCACACACTGTCTTAAAGAGTCACATGAACAAAACTTACTTTGGCTGAGTAAGTTATGCTATCAATTCCCTAAAAACTGGACTAAGAGCAGCATAGTGCAGTTTTTGTATAAAAGCCAAAAGGAGTTTACAAATTGCTTTCTACAACATGAGCTTAGAAATTGAAATAAGGATAAAAAATGTGAAAGAAACGTTCAGAAAAATGCATTTCGATATGGCAGCGACGACAGTATTGTGGCTTTTCCTTTCTTAATTTCCACAGAAGCAGGACTCTCAAGAAGCGATGGGACAGCCTTCGTGCCGCTGGTGGGCCAGGAATACCTGCAAAAAATGTCATTGCTCACAGGAAATGTCCAGAACGTTTATCGGAAGGCGGGACTTGCTCGCCTCAGAGGGCCGTGTCTGTCAGCCAAAAGGCAATGCACGCACGCACCATCTGCCTCTGGGGTCTTCCCCAAATGGCAGCCACTTCAGTAGTTTTGAAGTTCTTCTAATTGGCTTCCCTTTTGTACTGCAAAAATAAATGAAGTTTGTGGGGTTTTTTCCTAATGCTCCAGGCGGTGTGTGTGTTTTGTCCTGCACCCTGTTTATTGTCCCAAGTCCCCAGAAGTGGTGTGGTTAGCCTTGTCCAGCCTGGGGGGGATTCATCATTTTCTGTTTGAACCCCAATAAATGGGTTGTCAGCACCTGCAGAAAATCTTTAAGCTTCCCTACACACACACACACACACGTTGCCCATAACCCTAAGCAGGATCCAGGACCGTTGGATCCAAGAGAGATGCAATCAATCTGCCTTGTGGTGGATGAGCCCAGGTGAGGCCAGGTATCTTGGAAGCCTTCAGTTCTTCCCTTTTTGGAGCCAGAAGGGCGCAGGTAGTCTTCCATTTTATGACCACAAGGGGCGAGAACTTCCATTGCCAAGCAAAGTGGCCGTGGTTGTGCCTGACTTTACAACCTCTTTTGCCACAGTCGTCAAAAGAATCACCATGCTAGGTGATTCTCGTATCCACTAAGCGAATCTGAATTCCTGCCTGGATTGTACTTGCCAGGAGGTCACAAATGGTGATCACGTTTGTCCGCGGGATGGCACCACCGTCGTAAACACGGGGCGATGGTCAAGAGCCTGAATTTTGATCGTGTAACGAAGCTCATAAGTTATTTTTTTCAGCATTGTTGTAAGTTGGAATGGTCATTAAATGAATGGTGGTTCACTAAGTAGGAATAGAATAGGTCAGAACAGAATAGGAGTAGAGTAGAGTAGAGTAAGAGTAGAAAGGGACTTTGGAGGTCTTGAATTTGGCAAATATAATTTTTTTGTATTTTTTTTTCCTTTTGCATAATTTTGCTACTGTGATCTATGGCTGGCTTTATTATTATTTTTGAAGTGTTTTTGTTTTCACTTAGTGATGTTTCTGATTTTCAGAAATTTCAGCTCTTTGATTTTGATTGCGCAGATTTCCCATCGTAAACGAAGGCCTCTTATTCTGCTGTCATCTCTGCTTCGGTCTAAAATTATTGCTGGACAGGCAAGCAGAATCTTTCCAGGCAACCTGGCCTGGTTGTCGTAAACCTTTCCCTGCTGGCCATTATGAATGCATGGGGCAGTCTCTCCCGTTGATTCTGTGGTTCTGTCCACCAAGTTGGAATCCCCTCTTAGCAACCATGTGGGCAGAACATCTCCAGGGTCTGTTTATGAGCCTGGGCCTTCAGCATATCCAGAGATGCTCCCATTGCTGCTGTAATCAAATATGCCTCATCATACAGCTAAACCAAACCACGAGTCCCCAGCAACCTAACACAGGCCTTGTTTTGGGGGACGGAATGCACTGGCACACCAGATGCTTGGGATCCCGCAAGGGTAAGTTCCTCTTAGTGACCACACGGTCTGTTTAAATTGGACCTCGCGAAGAGCAGAGTAGCCCCGTTGCCTCAGCTTCACAATTATTTGACATTTCCATAAAAAAAACCTTCCAGTTCTTACAGCACTTTGGAAAAGGACCATCAAGTACGGCACTTTACTTGGTACAGTACACACCGTTCTTGGTACGTCGTAGAGGCGGTGGTTGGATTTGACACCAAATTAGCTTTTTCTCTCTTAACCAGAAAGAGATGGAAAATCACATTCCAAATTCCAATGGATCTTTCTGTGATTTTGTTCTTTGCCATTATCTGTAGGCTAGCTCAAACTAAAAGCAAATTTCCTATACAGTATTTATTTTGTAATGCATTAATACATTGAATATTGAGTATACAGAATCATTAAATGCATAACACCAAAGGTTTTCAACAAGTCAAAAGTATCCACACAACATTTTGATTAAGCCAACCCACTAAACTGTCAGGCTAAAGTTACAGGCCAACAAGTACACAAATGAGGTGTACTTGCAAAGAATGGCGGACTTGGCGGGTGATGCCAAGTTAGCTGGGAATGTTGGGTGGCTTCATCAGGCAGCTCTGTTTTCTGCACTGGTTACTTTGCCTTCTCATGAGCAAGGGTCCCAGGCTGCTATGAAAAACAAGGCCAGGATGACCTGTGTGGAGCAGGTCTGTTCTGGAGGAATCATGGATATCTCCACATGTGCTTTGGTAGGGAACCAAGGCTGTCCGGACCCACCTTAGAACATTCTTGAAGGAATTCCTCTGAAGGAGACTTTCGGTTGTGAAGTCGCGCGCACGAAAAGCCCGGTTTCATTGATGTACCTGCCATGGGTCTAGGACAGTGTTTCTCAATCTTGACCATTTTAAGGCATGTGGACTTCAACTCCCAGAATTCCACAGCCAGCTGGCTGTGGAATTCTGGGAGTTGAAGTCCACATGCCTTAAAATGGTCAAGGTTGAGAAACACTGGTCTAGGACAACTTGCCGTGCAGCAACTACGTTACACTAACACCGAAGAAATGATGGAATAGAATCATTATAAAGAAAGGATGCCAAAGAAGGGAGAAAACGTGAATGACAAAAATTGAAACAATTTTAAAAATTATTTTAAATAATTGAATTGTTGAATTATCCTGTTGGCCACAGTGAGTTGGCTGTGGCAAGTTGTCCTATTCCGGCCTCGTCACAACTATCATTGAACCCTTGGCCACTTAATATTCCTTGAGTCTTGGTGAGTCTTTGGCCTCTCTTTCTAATGAAAACTATGGCCACAAGGCATCAGCGCGGTCTGAATCTGCTCGGAAAAGGTCCAGTCGTTGTTCCAGAGAATCTAAACCTCTTGGATCTTGGTTCAAAATCTCAGAAAGGAAACTTCTTATGGGAACAGAGACTCTTCCAGTGATGATCTCCATTATAGGATCCTCCTTCAACTAATTAATACAAACTAGTTTCTTGGGGTCAAAGGTAGACATATAGATAACATCGATATTTTTCCAAGAATGGATCTCTAGACCAACCCTTCCATTCAACAAATGTGCCACTGGCTACTCCTGATGGAGTAACAAGGGAGGACAAAGATGTGGTGGGTCTAGGGCAGTGGGCGATTTTGGGTGGCAGGCTAGGAACCAGAAGAGAACAATAAAATGCAAGGTGCAGGAAGGGTGAGAGACCAATATAACACAGATTCACAGATTCATTTTGCAAGTATCTCTTGAGGGTGGGAACTGTTGTCTATGGAAGTCCAGGCTGAAAGGTCAGTTCATGAATACAAGCCTGTTTGTTTCACGAAGCTCTGTAATTATCTGTAGCACCAGGAATTCTTGGAGGGCTGGCCTGCCAATGATCTAGAGAGGGAGACCAGCAGAAGCTGCTCAATGTTTATATCCCTAGTTAGAGAAGAATGTGGGCTAGCGGAAGAGAAATACTAGGATGACGTGCAAACTCTGAAAGGTAGTTAATCCGACCAATCTGGCGAGTGTTTATGTGGCAACAGTGTTTGGGTGGGCTGAGGTGTGATCCCAGTTCTAAAGTTGTGGATTGGGGTCTTTTAAAAATACAGTGAATTTGGTCCCCAATTTTGAGACTGGCTGTGTTCACCTGACAGCAAAAACACTTTAGTTGATAAGCAAAGGGTGCTATTTCCCTTCCCATTCTGAAGTACTCTTTAACCAAATGATTTGTGACTGTGTGAGTGACTGTGTGTGAGTTTTGTTGAAATTAAATTGGGAGAAGAGCAATAACTAGCCAATCGGCTCTGATTTAACTTCTAAACCAGTGGTTCTCAACCTGTGGGTCGGGACCCCATTTGGGGTCGAACGACCATTTCACGGGGGTCGCCAAACAAGTCTGTCCGCCATTTTTTCCCCCTTTTCTTTGGCCACGCCCCTGGCACCCGGTGGTGTATAAGTGGTTGGGGGTCACCACAACATGGGGAACTGTATTATGGGGTCGCGGCATTAGAAGGGTTGAGAACCACTGTTCTAAACCATTTGAGGGAATTAAAAATTGCATCGGCCGCTTCTGAAAATATCACCAAATCTAACCTTAATTGCTAAGAGTTTCTTATTCTTTCCAATGTCATTCCATTCAGCACAATGTGGGTCTATGAGTCATAAACACACTTTGCCATCCCTAGAAGCTGTAGTGGAATCATCACACTCTACAAAGACATGAATAAAGTACAAAGACTGAACTATGAAGAAAATACCTCATTAAGTCATTAAAATCCCTGCTAAACCATGTACTTAATGGGGCCCTCAGTCAAAGATGATTAGAGATGGGAGGTGTCAGTTCTGTTAAGTTTGGGATAAAATGAGGAACCCAATCGGAGGTTTTATTTCTTTCACTGTCTGCATTCTTCTTACCAGGATAGAATATCTTCTCTTTGACTTATCTCTCCAGATTATTGCAAGAAAGGTTTGCGGTCTCAGGAAAAATCAAGAGAAATGAAGTTTAATGTACTTGCCAGATGTCCCAAAGATGCTTTTTCAAGAGGCAACTGAACTTCCTTGATTTTTCCTTGAAGACATTTCACATCTCAGAATTGAAGAAGCTTCTTGGATGAGAAGTGAAATGTCTTCAAGAAAAAACTAAGAAAGTCCAGTTGCCTCTTGAAAGAGTATCTTTGGGACCTGGATGACTAAGAATCTCCCTGGACATGTTTGCCAGATGGTGATATTAAATCAGAATGTAATCTAAGGAAATAAGTGTTTTACCTAAATACTGCTGTAAAATATGTAATACATAACGGTATATTAAAGTTCCTTTATCTTCCAGTGATGTCACCTTATCACAAATGCTCTTTTCTATCCTTGCAGGCCAAAAGATGCTAAGAATTTCCTGTCTTTTCACTGAAACACAGGAAGTATCTGTTTGGCAATGCTGGAAATAGTACACAATGCATATCCATAATCCAAATTGTTAAATATTTCTTTGTTCGCTTTGCTTTGTTTCCTCGCCCTTGTCCTGCCTGCTCCTATTTTTGAATGTGGGCAGAATATGGCCACGAACCTCCAGAAGGGTGGTGATCCCATTGCACAACCCCCTAAATTGTCAAGGCCCCAGTCTTTGTAGCCAAAATGGGACTGGCTGCAGATGTGCTCACCTGGCCTCGGAGTTGTTTAAAAGCCATCAGGAAAAAAATAAAGGACAGAATAATGTCTCCAACAAATTTTTTTGGAGGCTGGACTTGCCCATAATCATGAAAGCTGATATCAGGTTGGGAAGAGACGGAGGGCAGGGCCAACGGCTGGCTTGTAAACCAACTTGCTGACAAGCAACACATCTCTGGATGAAGTTAAGAGGCCTCCTTCATGGGCTGCTTCATCCAGACTTCATGAGGCCGATGATCCACCAAAGCTTTTTAAAATTGTAGGTACCAAACAATGGAGAACTGGCCGATTTCCTCTGGACAAGCTTCGGTGCTGCTTCACAGGACTGTAATAGTGGGCAAATTAAGGCAGACATTCATAAACTCCTCTTTCACAGATGGCACAGCTCACGAAACATAATTAATTTCCATTACTCAATGCTTCCAATATTTAGACAATATGCAATGAAACAGAAAATTATGTTTGGGGTGTCATGCAAGAAATTTTATAGGAAGGCATCTGACGTGATAATTTTGGACTAATTGTGGTTTCTAAGGGGAACTTGCGTTGGGAACTTCCTCTCGGTTTATGGTGTTTAGAAAGATAATATTTATTCTCTTCCAATTCACGCTCTGCTTTGTGCCGACAGGTTCCTGCTTCTGGGTGGCCGTGCTAAATGGCAATGTGGTGGGCATCGTGGCGGCCCGAGGCAACGAGGAGGACAACACGGTGGAATTGCGCCGCATGTCCGTGGACTCTAAATACCGTGGTAAAGGGATCGCTAAAGCTCTGGGTCGCAAGGTGCTGGAGTTTGCCGTGGTCAATAACTACTCCTCCGTGGTGCTGGGGACCACGGCAGTGAAGGTGGCAGCCCACAAATTGTACGAGTCCTTAGGGTTCAAGCATGTTGGGGTGGTCGAACACTATTCTCTGCCTGGAATGACCCATTCTATTCTAGAGCAAATATTTTTCCAGCTTCGCTACCACCGCTATTGCCTGCAGCTGCGTGAAGAATGAGGGAACCTCATCTTCATGGTGGTCCTCCCCAGAACCTCCTTGCCAATGTTTTGTGGAGGTTTGTGTCATGGTTCCTTTGCCATTTCTTCATTTCATGTTCTTCATTGGCTTTGTACAAGTCCTTGTACAAGCGAAGGGCCCGTCTTCTTCTTTTCTGAAGTGCTTGTAGGGTGATGGTGGCGCTAATGCTGGAGATACGGTGGACTGCTGCCCTTGGCCTGGCCTGGGTCAAGGTCAGGATGGACACGCTCACTCTCCCAGTCTTAACCCGGTTGCCTACATAAGCACAGAAATGTCAATGCATAACAAGGCTGCTTCTCTGACGTGTGTTATAAATAATAATGATAATAACAATTAATAATCTCCTTTTCCCCTCCCCCCAAGTATTAAAAAAGCGATACTTCATGATACAGCTCAGTGCAAAAGTTTTATGCGAATGCATTTCTCAGCATTTTATGAAGTCGTATGCATTCATGTCCTCATGATACAATGCCGGTTAATCATGCTGACAGAAAATGTGAAAATCCTGCTTGCTATAATGCATGAAGAGGAAGTATTTGCATGCATTCAAGCACACTACCAAGTAGGCGCTAATAATAATAATAATGATAATAATGCACTTTCTGGATGTACCTCCTCATGCCCAAATTCTCAAGAATATTGGTGCATCTCACACCCAGGACCTGGTCCTTGATCCTAGTTTTCTTCCTAAGCCAGCAACTACGAGCCCTGAGCCCAGTGTAACATATGTAAATTACCGAAATATCAAATATGTGAATGTAGATAGACTTTGAGATCCCCTGCCAGATACCTCCATCCACAGTGTTAATTTTCCTTTATTGAAGAGTTTTGTTTATTACGTTTGCTTAAACGATCCAAACTCTTCGCTTTTGTGGACTGGTTTCCCAGAGGCAAAACGGAGACTTCTGTTTCTATGGCAACACACCTGTACGCTAATAATGTGCACCAAATCTAAACGCTTCAGAAAAAGCAATATGCAAAAGAGAGATGGCTGGAGTTGCCAGTTCGACTGAAGAGAGCTAGGAAAGCAAAGATAACTATTTTAATCAGTTGCTACTTGCTAGTGGGATAACAAATTTAGGAGAGCTGCCGTACGACGTTACTGCTGCTTTAACAATGTCACCTTTGTGAGTTGTACAGTTCCATGCAAAAAGCAAGGCAACGCAACAGAGACATGGCATGCTGTCTGTTGGAGCCCAGCACGAAAACACCCGAGGCTGCAGCTTCTTCTGCCTTGAAATACCAACCTTTATTTCAAGAAACAGCAACTTTTGCATTAATTATGTCCGAACAGAAGTCAGGCAGCTTTGAGGTTTAAAAGGCAACAGGTCAGAAAAGCTCGGAAGATTTCTGGTTGCATTTTATTTGGGGAAGCAGCCTGGTGGACTCGGCTTGATAGAAGCAGCTCCCATTCAACGTTTCCTCCGGTTGAAAAAATTGTGATAGAAATTAGGCCACCCCACCTGGTTGGGGGGAGAAGGTCCCGGGGACGGATGGCACTGAGGGGAGAGGAGAGTGGAAGGACTCCCACCAAGCCGGTCCTTTGGCCTGGCTGCTTGTGGGGGTCATTCTCCATTTTGACAACAGAGGACAGGAGCTGTGTCTCCATTGGTAGGGAGACTCTTTGTGTCCTGTTTGGGTCTCAAAACGAGGAACGGGTGGAAAGATAGCAAAGGCCCCACTGAGGATAAAGAGGCTGCCCTGAGTTTCCCTCGCTTCAGAGCCTTGGTGAGGAGCCTGCAGCCCCTTCCCCATCACTGTCCTTCCTCAAGACCAGCCATAGCTCCATCCTTACCCAGGAAGGGCACCAATGATGGGAGAGGGGCTTCCTCGTTGCTCCCGTCTCAAGCGTGGGGCACCTTGGACCACAGAGGCGCTCCAGGCTGATGACCAAATAAAGGGAGAAGGGCGGGTCACAAAACCCCGTTTTCTGCTTCAATGGCGAACGCCTTCCTGCCTCAGACAGGGCCCTGAGCTATAAATGGCAAGAGCAAACTGTGTCGCAGCAATAAAACACTTGATCAGTACTAAAGACTGACCTGATGAACAGAATGTACCTGTTGGAACCGAGTGTGTGTGTGTGTATGTTGATGTAGAATGTATTTTTTTTAAGAAAAGAAAAATTCTATGCTGTACATTTCTCTTGAAGCTCAAATGTGTACCGTTTGAGGGGCAAAAATGTAGGACAGAGGTGTATAGTGTACAGAAATTGGTACGATATTTTATAGCTGTTTTTGGTGATTACATTAAACTGCCTAACCCAGATGAATATTATAAAGCGTTAGGGGGAAAGGGGAAGGGAAAGAACTGCTTGTGCCTTTTGATTTGTTTTTCCTTTTGTGTTACCCTTGCACTAAATGATTTCTGGAAAATTAATTGTACTACATAGCCTAATGGATTGGACGATGAACGGAGAGGCGTGGTACATGACTCCTGTGGACTACGATTGATTTTTTTATTGAGGCACTTTAAGAATGTGGACAGTTTAATGCTTGCACCAGTGGAGATTGCCCCTTTCGTAGCTGGGTGATCCAACACCAGATTGCGAAGTCTACTCTGGAAGACCTTGACTGAACTGTATGATAACATTTTTACCATTGCACATGGGAGCAAGTTTCTGAAAATACATGGGTTTTGAAGTGTTGCTTACCTGGCTTCTGCTGAATTCATTCATGCAATTAGTTGAACGCCCCAAGGGGTCTCTTGTCCATCTAGATCAGGGGTAAGCAACCTTGGTTCTTTTATGACTCGTGGACTTCAACTCCCAGAATTCCTGAGCCAGCATGGGGGAACTATGGCCCCTTCATGACTGGTGGACTTCAACTCCCAGAATTCCTGAGCCAGCATGGGGAAAACCATGGCCCCTTCATGGCTCATGGACTTCAACTCCCAGAATTCCTGAGCCAGCGTGGGGGAACTATGGCCCCTTCATGATTTGTGGACTTCAATTCCCAGAATTCCTGAGCCAACCTGGCTCAGCTTGGAAACCTCTCCCTTTCCCCTCAGCATGGCTGGCTCAGGAATTCTGGGAGTTGAAGTCCACGAGTCATAAAAGAGCCAAGGTTGCCTACCCCGATCTAGTTGTATCTTCTTTCCGCTTCCTTTAAATTACAGTATATCAGCAAAGGGCTGACAGAAACATCCTTCCCCTCTCCTTCTGGGCTTCTCCTGTAAGGTCTCCCCTTGCTTTGGGACCTATGAGGAACCCACCAGGGAAGAAGCATTAAATCTCTGCAGCGAATGAGTTACTGAAGATCGAACTCTGATTAATGTATGTGAAAAAGGAGAGGAGAGCTTGAAAGAAGGATGGGGCACACTCCGTAGTGTTTTTACATAGGAATAATTATTTCTAATGGACATGGGTGGTAATAATCTGAAAGGAGAAGCTGCTGGGAGGGAATTGTGTAACATTCAAAGCCCGCTGTATCGTTAATCTAGGAATAATGGGAAACACATTTTTCAGTATAAATCTAGAAGGAACAATACCCTGTTAGGTGTTTTTTTTACCTTGGAGGGGAAGAGAGCCAGGATGCAGGAAACAAAGTTTTCCATCAAATCTTCATCAGTCGAAGGAACAGGCCCCAGAGTGTGATGGGGTGGAGATGAGGGATTTTTACAGCGTTTTGCATTTTAGAGCTGTTGAAAGGAGATCGTAAGTGCAGCCAATTATAACTCCCAGTGAACTATCCAGCACAATCTGCCTATGCTTTCATCTTCAGCCTGACTTTTTCTAAAAATAAAATAAAAATAGGTATGTATGTTTTTGAAAGGGATGTAGCAAAGATGCCCGTAAGAGGCGTATCGACTTACCAAACCCTTTTCCCAAGTTCCCGGAGAGAGACGGCACAACCCATAGCAGCTTAAATCCAGACTAGTGGTGTGATCATAATATGCGTCCTACCTCACAAGTCAATTATGCTACCTTCCGTGGGCCTGCTTCCAGCCAGCTGCACGTGGACCAAGGACCTTTACAGAGACTGTCTGGCATCAGCAGCGCCACGTCTCCAAGTGGCGAGATTTTTCACGTATTACAGACACGCGTCCCTAGGGCTGACTTTATAACAGGCAGGTTTCCCCTGCAAAGGCTGTAGATATTTTTTTTGCGGGGGGGATATAGACCCCTGATGCGGTACGTGACTTGGGCTGGTCTTTTAAAAAGAACTTTATGAGGCCAGGACCCAGCCCCTAGGTCAAAGGGGAGCAGAGGCAGCTTCCCGCTGTAATCCCACGCCTGACTGAATGGGGCTGATTCTGGGTCTTCTCCTGGAGTCAAATATCTGGAATTTCCCCCAGATTTCTACATTGCAGGCCCTTTTCCTGCCTTGTTTCTCCAACCACTGCTTGGAAATATCCCCCTAACCAAAGTGAGATGTGCCTGTTGCAACAGGACAGGGCAAATGTGCTATTTATGTGGATGATTTTATGGTGGCCGGTGCGTGACCCCCACTTGTAAAAACCAAGGCAAAACCTGGATTTCTTTTATGAGTAAGGAAGTTTTTTCTTCTCCTCAAATTATGGCTTGGAGCAACAGGGCAAGGAGTTCCAGCATTAAAGTCTTTTATTACAAAAGGGGCTGCTAGGGGGACGGTCAGCCAAGGCGAGAGGGTGGCCACGGTCCTTCCATCAAAGACCCACCAGGTGGGTCACAACAGGTGCAAAAAAGAGACCGAGCATTGATCTCATGGCCGAAGCCGCCCATCTTGATTTCCTAGGGATCCCTCTGCTTTATCACGTTCACAAACACTTAATTATTTAATTAATTAATGCTTAATCTCTTAACTGATTTCTTCTTGGAATGTATTGCATTATAGAAATTTAACTTGCAGAGCCCCAAGGAGGTAACCTCCACTGAGGTTCTACTCTATGGCTATCGTGAGCCGCATAACTCCAAAATCATCCGGCAGACAGATGCATTTGGGGGGGGGGGGCTTGCATTCAGGTATATAAACCCAAGCAGTTGTACTGCATTCTTAGAGTATTTTGCGTGTATCTTTTTTACGGACTTGATAAAGATGCACTGATTTCCCGGGACCCTGCAAATGCTTTGGAAAAAGTTATTTCATAATAAGGGAGGGTCCTCATGAAGCCCCTTTCTTCAAATCAGCCGTAGCTGATTTGGATGCTGTTTCCGGCTGTCTCCACACCTGTGAGCGTTCACTATGTGTGTGCATTCGCTACTAAGGTTTCTGTGCAAATCTGGACGTGTGCTTGACAACTGACCCAGACAGAGATCTCCCTGAAGCCCAAAGGCTAGCAGGGCAGATGGCTTTCCTCCATGGAAAGGACTGCTAGCCTTTCTCCTGAAAGAGTGCTGTGAACACGGACTAAAAGCTCCATTCATCACGACGGGTGGGCAGCTCAGCAGCTCTTGAAGTCTTCTGACTGTTCCAAGCAGCTTTTGTTCCAGCAAGGGTCTTATCTACCACTTGCTCTCAAAATGGAAAATGGGGCACATCGCTCGAATCGCACAAAGTGAGAATACCTTAAATAAAAGACTTTCATCCCCTTCTTATTTGCCGCCCTGGGCAATCACAATGTTTTCCAAATACAAGTTTAGACAGCTTTTCGGCCCGTGTTTAACTTGATGCATTTTGTCCCCTTCAATTTCTAAATCTAGACTCAGCAGCCCACTTCTCTTACGTTCATTAGAAAAACACAAATGTTTCTACCTTTCTGATCCAAGAATTTTTGCTGTCATCATGTGTGACATATCTGAGCTGCTTCCAAATTTGATCGCTCAAGATTCTGCTAAAACTGTCATCCGGGTTTTAATTTTGCTTCCTTGATGGAGGACGTGCCCGATCTTCCCCGATGGCTGTTGGACAATGTTCCTTTCAAGGTTGTGGCTCAGCTGAGCTTCCCCAAACAACGCTGTGGCTGTGGCTTAATTCATCCGATGGGATTCCTCTACAGCTAGGTGGCATGGATATTTAATTATTTACCAGCCCAGCTTTTTGAAAAATATGTATAGTAAATTATGGTCAGCCAAGCATTTTTAGAACAAATTGAGATTGGAGTTTGAATTCTAAAAATGTATTGCAAATTCAAGCATCTTAATAGATATCACCACAAAAAACCCCAAGTTTATTAGTGAACCATCTAATGACTGTGCAGGGGCCTTCCCTCGGCTTTCTCATCACCGGTTGTCAGATGACATACCTATCTCTAGCTATGGTGAGATTATCATATATGCCGTATGTGCGTGCAGTACATGTAATAATCTCTGTGTCTCTGTTATATATAGAAAATAAGTGCTGTCTCAGATTGAACAGCATATTTGCATGTTGTTTGAATATATCCAAAAACGACCCTAAAATTCTCCAGCTTAGAGGGAGTCCTATATTTAAGCCTGTATAGTAACGTCCATTGTTGTTATTTCTTTATTTACTGTACAAGGTTAATATATTTCCTAAGAGTCTTTCTCCCACGCCACGGCTGTTTCTCGCTGACAGGCACATCCAATCCCTGAAGAGTTTTTCCCTCTTCCTTAAACAGGGAGTCTTCAGTCACAAAAGTCTCTTCTTAACACACACACACACACACACACACACACACACACACACACTTTACTTCCAAAAGAGGCAGAAATGGGTCTTGACCACAGCCTTTCTGAGTGACCCATATGGCTTTGGTACTTAGGGACAGTCTCAGAAGGGATGTTTTAGAGCAGTGTTTCTCAACCTTGACAATTTTAAGGCATGTGGACTTCAACTCCCAGAATTCCAGAGACAGACATGTGAGCATTTGCTCCCAGCGCCAGCTTTTACTGAATCATCCCCAGTGCACCTCTTTAAGAACAGCCTCGGTAATGCAACTCTGCAGCTTGAGAACTGAGTAGCTGCTCTCTAAGGATGCTCAGCTGCATTCAAGCCATGGAGAAAAGCAAGAGGAACCCGATTCAAGTTTCTGGATCCAGAGGGGGCCTTCAGCTTGCTTACGTGCGAACTGAAGCCTCCCATCTGAGTTTATGAGATAAGCTGTCAACTGACTCACTCTCTTGTGATTGTTTAGGTCTGTGTTGTTTTCCATTCCTTTCCCAGCCTCCCCCCAATCACTCAAAAGACCCGTCAACGCAGGACATTTATATCTGGCCATGGCATTTGAGATCTTCTGAGGCTGTTGAGGCGCCTCTCCTTTGCTCCAGGAGCTGCCTGCGGTCTGGTCCTTCTCAAGGTCAAGACCCAGAACCCTGGCAGCTGATTTGTTGACCTTCTCAGAGACTATCCTCACCTTCAGTGGTCATTTCCATGGTTCCCCCATTGACTCCCCCTCCCCTCCCAGGCCTTCTGAAGGGATTTCAGGCTACCTTTAAGGGGGTGCTGGGCCAGGCTGGGGACCTTTGGCCCCCATCTCTCTTCTTTCCCCTCCTGCTCAGAATCTTCCCCGTCTTTTCCTTCTGAATCTTCTCGGCTGCCCTCTCGATCAACGTCCTTGGCTTTCTCCACTGTTGTCGGCCTCTCCCTAGAAATGTTTCTCCCCCAAATAATGTTGTTTCGGTCTGGACCCCAAACAGACACACCCTGTTTCAGTCTATATCCAGGCCAAGCATGTATGTTTCTTTTGGGAAGTGGCTGGTCCAAAGCTAACCGCTCTGTGCGTTCATGCACAAAATGTCTTGCATGTCAAATATTAAGGACATACTAA